TTCGTATAAGACAAAGACTTGTATAAGTTACGAGAACCTTTGTAAAAGGCAGTTGAAGAAAAAAAAAAGGTCACGTTTATATACACGTGCTTGTATATATACAAGACGTGAAGATAACGATAGATTAGACTATAGACACGTCCGATCACTGATCGATAGAGGAGAAGAATGATATTCTATTGTTTGTTCTTATAAGTTTATTATCATTTTTTTCTCTCATTCATAGGTACACAATATGCAAGTCGTCTTGTAAAACAGTTTTCACCAAAAGGAAAAATTACTCTTGAAATAGTACAAGATCTTCATATTCCTGTTGATGAATTATTACATGAATTTTCCAATCATAATTCACATTTATCAAATAAACTCGTTTTTTATTGAGCTGGTGTCGACAATGGATCATTTCAAAAAGTACTTGATCATGAATTACGAGCTATTAAACGAGCCTGTACAGGTAATTATGATTTACGAAAATGAAAAAATAAAAATTGTATTTTTAGATTTATACGGTCATAATCAATTGCCTAAAATTTGTTTTGTTGTTAAAAAGCGTCACAATACTCGATTTTTTCTTTGGAATAAAAAATTCAATCAAACAAATAACATTCAACCAGGTAAAAAATGAAATAAATACTTCGTTCTTTTTTAATCGTCGATGTTGTATTTTTTTTTTAAATTTCAAGAACAGTTATTGATACAGATATTCTTTCACGGAATGGTTTCGATTTCTATCTTAATTCTCATGCAGCTATACAAGGTACATCAAGACCAATACTTTATCAAATTTTACACGATGAAATCGGTTTTATATCGGACGATATTCAACAATTGGCGTTAGAATTTCAACTTAGACAAAAGAAGGAAACTTTCTTTTTTATTCTTTTTCGAACACAAAAAGATATTATTTATGTCATACTGTTGTTCGATGTATCAAATCTGCAGCTGTGCCAACACGCGTTCATTATGCAGCAGATTGTGTAGCACTTGGCCTTAACCTTGAGCATGAAGGACATATAGCAAATGATCAACAAAGTATTGTAGCGTAAGTTTTTAGTTTTCGTATTTTAAAGCTTGAACAAAAAACAACAAAGAGTCGATTCTTTTATTTGTTCTTTTTTAGTTCGGAATTCGACGAATACTTGTTCGATGAGAAGGATGGTGTCGTTACTTTAGATGATGTTCAAACAATTAAAATCGATTTTCATCCATTAATTGAAAACACAATGTGGTTTGCATGAACTTTGATTTTTCTTTTTGTAAATAGACTTTCATTGTTTTATTAATTGATCTTTGGTTGAATGTGACCATGCATTCGCTTGTGTTTCATTTTTTCCATTTTCCCTTTGTTTTTGTCACGTTTTTTTCCTAAGCAATAGTTTTTTTTTGTTTGCATATCTCTTTTTGTATATGTAACTGATTAGATGAGTAGATTGATTGGTCATTGAACGAAAAATCTCGTCTTTTGAAAAAATCATTGCCAAATGAGAGTTCTCATCGAAATCATGAAACATCGTCAAATAACGATTCAATGACTTATGCATATATCGAATGCAGTGAAAGTTATAAGCGAAACTTTCGATTTTACATGTAGCTCTGTTTAGAAACACAACAAACAATTCATCCTTTATTATTCGAAGATATTTAGTCTTTGAACGCTCTAATGGAACTACAAGATTAACTGTCTATAGCTACTTTGTAAATTTGAATAGGTCACTTGTAGTGAATATGTGTGCCAGTATGGTGTGCGTATCGCTACGAAAAAATCAGAATTTGCCTAAACCAACAATCCTGGTACGTTCATTTTCAA